TGTATAGATATCGTAGACGTACAAAATTATATTGATGATATAAAATCAAAATTAAATTTACAAGAAAAAGTTATTCTTCAGGATGCATTCGATGAATCTTTTTGGAAACTTCATCAACCAATTATCGATATAGCACAAAGTGTGTATATTTATATTGATTCTCAAACATTTAAGAATGTACTCGAAAAGCTTTCAAAATCACGTGGTGTGACTTTGACAGTAGAATTAGTCGCTACAAAATTTATGCGTGAAGCTTATATTAAATACAATAGATTACGAGCAGAGTACAGAGATTGGATGACGCTCGATTGCACCAGGATTAGTACGTTTTGGAAAGGTGTTAAAGATATAGATTATGAGCTTGAATTAATGTCAAGGGGAATGAAATGGTATCCAAAAGATGACTTGAAAAAAGCAATCAGTTACCTTGCTTATGTAAAGTTATGGAGGGATCGAATTGATGATTTAGAAAAAAACTTTAAAAATTTTTAGGGTACAAAACTTAGTAGAGTGTTGGGTGGCAAATGTTCGTAACAAACTTAAGGAGCCTTTGACACTCATTGAATTATACAAGGCTATTAATGAAATAAACAGATCACTTACTGATTTTGATGCCAACTGTTGGAAAATAATAAAATCATTATCTTTTGCTGGAGATTTTCTCACCTGGCTATATACAGTAGGTGAAGTTGATCTAAGAAATTTAATGAATACCGTAGACGAATCTGAAGATCGTGAAGTCCAAGAAAATACAATTACTTCATTAATTGAAGTCAAACAATTTTTAATGCCTTTAATGAATAGTATAAGACAATTTTATAAAGAAGGCAAATCAACCCATACCATCATTTTTAAATTTCTTGATCATATACGGGATATTGCCTCAAAAAATCCTTCTTTGTCTCAGAAAATTTCTCAATGTTGTTTAAGCAATCTCGCTATTCAGCATGTATACTTTACTATTTTAAATAGAGGAGAGGCGATAAAGATGCGCATCAGGGATGCTGCGACGATAGGTGAATACAAATTTTTCCATGATGAAAATCATGATAAATGTGTCGTAGAATTATCTTATGAAAAACCTTACGAAGATACTGGTAGAACGAAAACAACAATTCATGATCTTTCTAGTCTACAAGATTTGCAAGGTCAGGCTCTTTTGATCGCAAAACAGGCATCATTTGCCTATGTCATTTGCATATCAACCGAAAACGAGAATAACTTAGAACAGGGCGCCATTGAACTGATGAACTTTGTTCAGCAAGTAGATACTGTACATCAGATTATTAAATATGCATCTCAATTAATGGAACTGGGTCATTTTTCCTATAGAGAATGGGAATTGAAGGTTCATGCCACAGAGGATATGGAATTACATCTTAAAAAGCTCGACAATGACTTGCAAGATTGGTAAGTTACTATAGTTTAAAATTGTTATTTATTACATATTTAGTTTATTTATGTATACGTACTTATGACTGTATATATTTTTAACTGTGCCAGGGAGAATAATATGAAACGAGCTCAGGAAAGACATTATTATTTAACTTTCTATACTGCAAGGCATATCCTGGCATTTTATGATTATTTCAGCTGCAGAGATGAAGTTGATCCTAAAAATCGTGAGACATGTAAAACACTGCTTCGGATAGTCAGTAAGAATGCAATATTACCTCCAAACGAAGGTGACATAAAAGTCGATTATATAACAGCAAATTTCTATGAAGTTCTCTGTGAAATTGGTATAAAATTACACAACATTTTCGCACAAGCACAAAAAACTCCTCGGAAAATTAATGCAAACATTGAACTGAATGTTTCTGATATAGTTCGTCCGGGTAATTTATTTGTTGCTGCGTGTAACAAAAGCTATCAAGTACCAAACATAATTCTATCTCTTTATGCGAATCATGGTACATACCCAGAACCATGGCAATTATTAATGTGTAGGACATCTACAACTGCTGATGAACTTTCACTTTTTATTAAGCGATGTTTCAATGCTACAAACCATGGATATGGAAAACGGTTATTTTGTATCTCAGGTTTAGAGTTTCTTGAAATCGAATTGCAATACAAGTTAGCCAATGATATTCGTAATCTTAAAGAATCTGATATCAATTATCATTTGGCTTTGATCTGTTGTCAAGAAAGTGGCATTAGTAATCATATTCTTGATCAGTTTTCAGAATATGTATGCAACACGAACGGTCTTAACACAAATTCCATGAAAAATATGTACAAGGAACTTTGCCCAAACGTGTTTTGTATTTCCTCCGATTCATCCGGCCAAGGAAAGACTGAATATATAAAAAGCACTAGCTTAAAATCCAAATTTATTGCAAAAAGTGTTTTAATAAGTGATAATATAAACTTTGATGGACTAGTTAGCAAGTTGAACGAGTATAAACTCAGATCTTTGGATTGTTTACATTTGAACATTGTGTCGATTAATAATTCCAGTGATATAAATGTCTTTCTTTTTGAGCTCTTGACACTTGGAATGGTTACAAATAAAGTAGATATTATTTGTCTTCCGAAGCAACATGTATATATTGAATTGGCATCTACCACTACTCAAAATTTATTTAACTCTATCCCAATCGTACAATATCTTAAAAATATGCACTTGAAATGGGACATTAATAATCTTAATGTATCGAAAGAAATATCAAGTCAAATTCAAATTGTATCACATTATTTAGATGTATACGACCGTAAAGAACTTAATGAAAAGGATATTATACTAATGGGAAACAATGCTATAAAAAAGCCTTTAAGTCCAGGGCGGTGTCGTGAGTTAATACAAAAATATTTTTTGGACGACAACGAAGCAAATCTTTCATCATATCGATTTATAGAAATATTTCTGAATGTATTTGCAGACCAATTGAGTCGCATGTCATTAAGTTTATTTTTTAGTGTGGAAAACCTTAAACTGATGGTAAAAGATAAAGATATTCGAACAACTTTAGTGAAAACTTTATTAGAAGTCTCTAAGGAATTTGCAACTCGATCAATCGCTACAAGATCTGCTCAAATTAAATCAACACATTTTATAAGAGATCAACTCGAGACCATTGTACAATGGGATACTTCAAATCATCTTGTAGTATTCTTCCTTTCACAAACACCAGATTCTATTTGCGCTCTTTATCGTGATCGAACAAAAGTTCCTGGTGATGTGAAGCGTTTATTGGTGAGCCAAGAAACTAGTCATTACGAAGGCATGGATCCATTTTCAAGAGCAAATCCACAGGCTTGGGAACTTGAAAACTATAATACCATGTCATCGGAAGCTTTATTAGAAAGATTGGAACGTATAGCAAGAGAATCAATGAATGAAATAGAACTTCCTAAATATGCATTATCGTCAAACAATATCGTGAAAATGGCCCTTATTCTGCTGAGAGCTCGAGCAAATATTCCAGTGGTCATCTGTGGTGAAGCAGGTTGTGGAAAGGTATGATAATGTTATATTAATGTTATATGACGTCTATTAAATTCACTTCAATAATATATAAAATATTTCATTTTTTTTTTGAAATACTTTTCTGGTAAAAGACAAGTTTAATTAGTTTCTTAGCAAAAATTGTAAAAGCCAAATTTGAAGTACTTCCTCTTCATGCTGGTGTACTTGAAGACCAAATTATTGATTTCATGGGAAAAGGTGCTCAGCATGCCAAGAACGATCCAACATGGTTATTCTTTGATGAGATTAATACTTGCAACCATATTGGTCTTCTTGCTGATCTCATCGCTCATAGAACGTTATTAGGCAAACCGATACATCATAACATTCGTTTGTTTGCAGCATGTAATCCTTATCGACTCCGCAAAAAAAATTTAACTAACGTAGGTTTGGAAAAACAATACCACGAACATAGTAGATTAGTCTATCAAGTACATCCGTTACCTGACCAAATTTTGGATTATGTATGGGATTATGGCGTCCTCAAACCTGAAGAAGAGAGGGTACGTGTGCGTGTGCTGTCTCCTTAACTTTCATTAATAATTATATAATATTAATTACATAATTATTTTTCATTACATTCTGTAAATATATTAAGATGTACATTAAAATGATGATAGAGGATCGACTTGGGTCATATCCAGTATTTTTGGATCTACTTTGCGCATCGCAACATTTCATACGTACGGTTGAAGAATCATATACAGTTAGTTTACGTGATGTCAAGAGAGCAATAAAATTAGTTTTATGGTTCCACAAAAGCCTGAAAGGACGACCACCAGCTACGCGTCCGCGTGGTGTTTCGTTTCTCACAATCAAGCAGAAGAACTATCCACCAACTGACCCCAAAAAATTAAGGTGTTATTGCTTTATTTTATCACTTGGACTTTGCTATCAATCGAGATTATATGATAAAGATTTACGAAAAAAATATCAAGAGAGTATGGCACAGATTTTTAAGAAACGTAATGAGAATATTACTGCTACAGATTTTGAACAAATAATTCGTAAAGAACAAGAGGATATTATGCAAAGAATGTTACGTCCACCATCGACAGCTGATAATGATGCTCTTTTGGAGAATGTTCTCGCGATGATTGTTTGCATATTAAATAAAATCCCTGTTTTCATTATTGGATCACCTGGAAGGTTAGAAAATTTTTTATTTCTTTTTATAGGTCGAAACATCAGTAACTTTATTTATTAATTGATATCAATAGCTCAAAATCATTAGCTGTACGACTTATTAGTTCAAATCTTCGGGGAGCAGATTCAGATGATGAATATTTTCGAACATTGCCACAAGTATGTAATCATAATACTGTTATTTAAATATCTCAATTATTATTCTAACCTAGATAATGGTATGGTCTATACGTATAAGGTTTTTTTCGTACCACATCAAGGTTCTGCATCATCAACTTCAGATGGTATCCTTAAAGTTTTTAAGAAAGCAGAAAATGTTCAAGAAAATCATTCAGAAGGATTCTCTGTGCAAGCAGTTGTCCTTCTTGACGAAGTTGGTCTAGCTGAAACTAGCCCATTCAATCCCTTAAAAGTTCTCCATTCACTTTTAGAACCAAGTTATCCAAAGGACACACCAACAGTATCAGTTGTTGGTATTAGTAATTGGCGTTTAGACAACAGCAAATCAAGTAGAGCGTTGCTCGTGCAAAGGCCAAAATTTAGCCTTGATGATCTTACATCAACAGCTTCTATGCTTTTAGGTGAAAAAACTAAAAGTGGAATTTCTGACTTTAAACTCAAGCAACTTGCCGAAGCTTATCTTAATTATGAGCAAAATCAAGATGTTAAAAATTTTCATGGTAAATTTTGTTTTACACTGTATTTAATTTGGTAATACTGTATAAAGGATAATAAAATAATTATTCAACTAGGTCTTCGCGATTATTACGCATTGGTGAAATGTTTGAGTAATAATGAAGTGACAAGTAAGAACTTTCACCTATATCAATATTTATTTAAGTTTGTGCTTCTAAAATTATTATAATTTTGAACATTAGTGAATACATTAGAACAAGGACTAATGAGAAATTTTGGAGGAACTAATAAAACCCAATCATTATGCGAGGACTACTTTGGCAAAGTTTTGAAAAGTTTCAGCAATAATCAGGACTATACATATAATCCGATTCCTGTCAAACAACTTACAAATGAAAATTTAAAAGAGGAAAATTCACGACATTTAATGATTATTGGAAAAAGTGATTCTTTAGTAAATATTTTAACATATTATACGCGTGAATTGCAAATGAGCCCTATTGTATTGTGTGGATCACAATTTCCTGATGATAATGAAGATGATTATTTGTATGCTGTTTTGAGTAGAGTAATGGTGAGCATTTAAACAAATTTAATTGACATCAATTATTGAATGACCGATAAAGCATAGTTTGTATTTTCTTAGATGTGTGTAGAAGCAGGAAAGCTTATAATTCTTACAGATCTAGACATGGTCTACGGTATGTCTTGTTCTTTATTGTGTTAACAATGTTTGATCAAGTTATTAATTGTCATATGCCTAAATACCTCCATCTAGGGAGTCTCTACGATTTGTGGAATCAAAACTACATCACTCTTGGCAACCGTAATGAAACTAAATACTATGCACGTGTCGCACTTGGTGCTCATTCCAATCCAATGCTTTATGTAAACTCAGAATTTAAATGTATTTTAGTAATGGATGAAAAAAAGCTCGAAAAAACAGATCCACCTCTACTCAATCGTTTCGAAAAACAACGGTTGACAATTAATGACATACTCTTAGATCATCATAAGAATTTATGCAAAACTTTAAATGAATGGGTTCAACAGATATCAACGCTAGAGGAAACAGAGGATTACAATGGAACTGGGGAATTCTCCGAAAAAGATATTTTTATAGGGTTTGATAAAGAAGAAACTATTCAAAGTTTGGTATTTGATCAATGTAGGAAAGATAAAGATATTGATGATGATGAATTGATCTTGAGGAGATGCAAAGAACGGTTGATAGCTACAGCCTCATCTAATGGTATTGTACGTGCAAAGCAATCTATTTTATCAAAGCAAAAGCCTGAAGAAGTTGCTGAATGGGACGATTTCTACTTTAATAATAAATTACATGATAGTCTTGAGTCATGTTTAGAAACTTTGCTTGGCGAGAAAAATGATCAAACGAATCAAGAGGGACAATTAATTATTATCAATACATTTTCAAACATAAATACTGATATCAAAGCTTGCTTGAATGAAATGCCTTGTCAAATAGATAAGCTTTCAACATTCAAAACTGAAGCTCAACTTCAAAGTCGGATTAAACATTTTTGGTTAGATAGTAATGATAAACTTTTAATCGTACAATGTGATCTTTCAGCAGTAAATTTTGGTTGCATTAGACTTGCAAAATTCATAATCGAACAAATTAAAGAAAAGTATAAGAAAAATCGGCAAATGAATGATGAAATACCAACCAAACATGCTTGTATCATTCTCCATTTTCATCGCGAGCAGAAGGCAACTTCTGTTACGTTTGACTTCATGTGTGAATGGAATCAGATTACTATTGAGACACTAATATAGCAAGAGTTTGCTAGTTTTTCCCCAAGTTCTATCAAAGATGTCATTATTTCAATATTACTAAAAAACATGATATATAATCGTAATTGTCAATTTAATTTATCGTTAATAAAAAATTTTGAAAAGTATATATAACTTTTTGAGAAATAAAAAGATATTAGTGGTATAAATTTTCTATATAAAGTATCGTGCTCCAGATGACAACCTAGGCACCTCAGATATCATTCTTCGAGCGAGCTACCTCAATAAGACCAAATGTAATGTGAAATTTAAAAAATAATCGCCTGCGTACTAACAAAAAAAATTTCTGTAAAATATTGCACATTAAACTTAAACTAATTATAAATAAGTGATTCTTAGTCGTTATCTGAGGCAAGCAAGAATTTTCTATTATTTACTTACTGTATTTTCGTAGAATCTCTTTTTAGATAAAAGTTTCCACCTTGTTCATCGTCAACCATCCTGTACAGTACTTTATAGGATTCCTATTATCTTTCAATTTGTAAATTGTTAATACTTTATACGTTGTAAGAGTAAAAAGTTGTTGCCAAAGCACCTCAGATCAGTTACGCCAAATCTATCAAATCTGCTAAAATAACATATATATATGATATAAGGCACAAGTGGCATAAGTGTTATATAGATTATATTTTTAAGACATGTTAGTTATTAGATGTGCATTTATTCCATTTAGCGCATTTGTTCATAATGCACTCAATAATAGTGTCAAAGTATAAAAGTACTACCTTTTCGCTTGCAATAAAGTTCAGTTCAACATCATTTCGCTCTAATAACCCCTGATAAATAAAAATTCACATAAAAGTCTAACCCTAATCTCGAATTGGAGCTTGGAACTTCGTGACGTACAGTACAGTAATCTAGAGCTCTAATTTAGATTCCTAAATACTCTGGCCAAAGCAATCCACACCTCAATCTTAGCCTTCCACTGTTAGGGTAGTGTTATTCTGTGTGGTTTGCTGTTAGTTTGAGCCTTATCCGGCCTCCGTCGATCAGATAGAGTATGTAGCGAATCGTCCAATGATTGCCGCAACTAGTTACGACATAAGTTTTAGCTAGTTACAACTTAAGCCGTAACATCATTTGGATGATTCGCCTGCACCTCTAGTATGTAGGGTGTCAAAAACTAGTAATGTATGCTAATCTGGTCAGAGTATTTATTACTCGTGGGTTTGAGGTTTTCAATTAATGCAATTTCATTATTAAATAGGAGGCTTTAGTGCAGGCATGATTGACAGCAGTGCAGTGGTTCCGTATATCAATACAATGGTGGAGATAGGCTGATACTTTTCGTGGATGTAGTAGGTATATTTACAGGCGGAGGAATCCCTATATCAGTAGACGGACCAGTACGGAAAGCATTTAATTTTGGTTATACTCTTGTTACATTATTAGATTTATAGGGTGAAATCAATAAATCATCAAATCAAAAACTTTGAGCATCGTAATAAGCTTTTATTCATTGAGTTTTTGATTCGATCAAAATCATTGAACATCAGTGTCAAAGAGTTATGTAATCGCCGAAACGACTACTATCCAACCCAGTTGGTTTATTCGATATTATAGTCTCGCTTGGCTTGAGAGACACGCAGACACCTTCCTTGACGACGCACTTCGCACTATTGACACGTATTAACCACTTTATTTATTGTTTACTACACAATTTTCCCAGTCGAAAGACTGTTGAATTCTTTATTTACATTTTTCTATTTATACGATTTAATAATTACATATCTTGTAATACATTTTAACTATTTCTTTGTTACGAAAAACATTGTGCGCGCCTAAGTTTGGGTGGGGCTGGCTAAACAAGAAGCCAGGAAATAATTTATTATTTAAAATAGTATGTAGATATTGTGCTAATACATGTGTGTAGATATTGTGCTAATACATGTGTGAAGTAATAGGCACTGAAGCGGCAATCATCCCAAAATTAGCAGTGATAAATGCGCAGGAGTTGCCGAAACAGACCAGGTGGAGCATTGTTAATGTAAAAATCAGCCGGTGGTTTTCCGCCTGCCGAAGCAAGCCGGCTGTTAAAATGGCAGAATCATGAACATGTTCCAAAAGAATTATGTGATTCTGTTATTTTGTTTGTTTGGTTTCGGTCATCATTTCCTCATTATTATTGTTGTTATTTTGGCTGCTTTGATGATGATTTACTCTAGTTGTATATTGTGTGTGGATCTTCTCTCTCTCTTTTTTTTTTTTTTATTATCACGTGGTATGTCTTTCCCATGATTGTGTATTTCTTTTTTTCTCTTCTTCTTCTCCGTCTTTCTTTTTTTTTTTGGCTCTGTATCTGCATTGTTTCTCGTTATTGTCATTGGTTGTTTGCTTGCTTGACGATGAGATTCTGTCTGGGATCGATGTTGATTGAGATGTGAGGTTTGACTTTCGGTCTGGTGCAAGCATCGTGCATGTGTGTAGTTTTTTTTTTTTTTTTTTTTTTTTTGAGCTAGAATAGCATGTTTTTTTTTTTTTTGATTAATTGAGCCGGAATGTTTCTTCCAAAGTGTTGTTGGAGGCTCAATCGATGTATGCGTTGGTGAGGATTGATGTAATTGTTTCGGGGTGGTCTCTAATGTATCTGTAGAATAATTCAGAGCTCTACCTGCTGATCTTTTGGATTAGCACAAGTTGGACGTTATGTATTACAAGTTCAGACATGTTAATTAGATTTATTTATGAAAAAGTGCCAAAATTTTCAGATTTGCGTGTGATGGGCGATCATTTGATAGACACAGTAATTTGAAAAGCGCAGTAATTTTTTTATTATACATATCCGCAGTGCACTCGCGAAGTTTGCGGCGCAGATTTCCAGAAATTTAATTCAGGTTTCATAATCTGGTGTAAAGTAACACAATTAAAAAAATTCAAAAATCGCTTATTTCTCAAAAAATAATTTTGAATCAGCAAGAAATAGGGTGATTTAGAATTAACTTATTTCGAAAATTAAATGAGTGTTTAAAATTTCCCATTTCAGTTTTGAGATTTCGAAATCTGAAAACGAAAAGTCATAAAAAAAATAGAATTTATAAATCACTTATTTCAAAACAAAACGTCACTAATTTAATTTGAAATCAGAAACTTGAATATTAATTCTGAATCACCTTAATGTTCGGCGTATTTATAATTTATACATATCCGAAGTGCACTCCTAAAGTTTGTGGTGCAGATTTCCAGAAATTTTCAAGATATGATGTAACGCAGCATGATTAGAAAAATCCATGTTTTGTCAAAATTTCCTTATTTTTCATTTTGAATCAGCAAAGAATACTCTGTGTATTTATAATTTTTTTTTTATTATACATATGAGCAGCGCATGCCTGAAGATTATAACGGTTCGCAAAAAGGTGCGACCCTGTGATTTCGTGATGATAATAGCGGAAAGATTTCAGAGATTTTAACTATTGAGCATAATAACGTCTATATTTTATTCGAAATCTTTAAAATTCTACAAGAATCGAAAAATCTACTAAAATCGGCTGATTTTTCATGATTTTACATGACATCATGATCTGCAGAGGTCACACCTTTTTGTAATGAAAATATCTCGATAACTACTGGGTCAAATTCGATAAATTTTTTTATTTTAATTTTATAGATTTGTAGAATTAAGATAAAAAATTTCATCGAATTTTATTGAGTAGTTATTAAGAAATAATTACTTTAAGTTAATATAAAAAAAAAAGTATAATTTTTCTTTTACAAGAGATATAAAACTTTGAACGAAGATTTCTCAGCGACTACCTGTTCAAATTCGATGAAAATTTTATTATAATGTTTGTAGAGAAATAATTGATTATATTTTCAAAAAAATTCGAAAGTATGTTAAACTTTAAATAAATATTTCTCAATAATCACTTCATATAACCTGTAGAATTAAAATAAAAAAAAAAACTTTCATCGGATTTGGTTTAGTAGGTATTGAGAAATTCTTATTTACAGTGTAAATATAAAATTTCATATAAAATTTCATATAAAATTTTTTAAAGTTTATATGAAAATTTCTCAATATATACTAAACCAAATTCGGTGAAATTTTTTAATTTTAATTCTATAGTAATATAGAAAAAAAACTTTTATCGATTGATGAAGTAAATTGTCCCAAATTATCCTATATTGTCTTATATTTTTACTAATGTGAAAGTACTAACGATTGACGTAAATACGCTTTTCGCTTTAAGCTGCAGATCTACAACGCAGTTGTGACGGATTAGAATGAATCGGATTAAAATGAAATATTGTACATTGTATAAAATAGACAAGCCACCGAAAAGTAAAAATTTTTGAGACGGATTTTTTAGGGTTAGAGGTTAGTTTAAAGGTAGAGTTTATATTAAACAAGTATAAGTGGGGTTTAGAGGGCTAAATAGATTCATTTTAATCCGATTTCACTATGATCCGCGACAATTATTTCATTTCAAATCCTAAATCGAGACCATTTTCATAACTGTTGTGAAAAAATAATTGCTGATCACCTATGACAGTGATTATTTTACTTAACCTGGTCTAAGGTTTGAAATGAAATGATCGATGCTTTGAATTCATTGTACATTATATCGAAATTATATTTTTTATAATAAATTGTAAGGATTTAATTTTGTTCGCTTTAATTTTAATAGTAGTGATTATATCGATCATTGCTGTTCAAATATGGAGAATTCTCTATTTCGGATACATGGCTTTATAGAAGCTATCCTAAATTATTTGTCCGAAAATCCTAAAATCCGAAAAAACCCTATCTGCCAACTTATATAAAAAATATCACTGATCGTCACATGTTTTTTTACATAGAACAGCCAATCAAAATCGAGAATATTTTGTTGCGGCAGCTATGGTTATGGCGGTTTTCAAAAAGGTGTGACCCTGTGATTTAATTATGATGATAGCGGAAAAATTTCTGAGATTTTAATTCCCTATTCGAAATCATTAAAATTCTCTAAGAATGCTGATTTTACATGACATTATGATCTGCAGAGGTCACACCTTTTTGCAAACCGCTATTACTACGTATAATCGCCGGAATTTGTGATTTTATATCTGATACAGCACGATTAGAAAAATTCATGTTTTGTCAAAAATCGCTTATTCATAAAATATGTCTTTAGTTATCTAGTAAAAACTTTTTCTTGATAAATTTTACTATATAATCTGCTAACTTCTAACCCTATTATATTTGCGCTACGCATTTCTTATATGCATTCGACGTAAACTGAGGATTGAAAAAATCAAACAGAAATAATTTTGAATCAGTAAAGAATGTCCGCGTATTTATAATTTTTTGTTTATTATAAATATCCGCAGTGTACGCCTGAAGTTTGTGGTGCCGAGTTCCAAAATTTAATTCAGACAAAATTGAAAACCGGAACATTCTCTGCCGTGACTAACTGAGAGAAAATTTAAACATAACGATAAACAGGATTGATAACGAAAATGAATTTTGCAATCTCTTTGTACTGAAAAAATTCAATATAACAAATGATACCACAAATTATATATTATTTTAATGCGTATGTTTTTAATTTTTTCATATCCTTTCAATTTGATTTGTTTAATCTTTATTGACATTTAATTGCTAAAAAAAAATACCATCTTAATTAATTTTAGCAAAAAAAAGTTTAATTAAATATCTTACTAGAATTCCCGTCATTAGTTAAAAATATGGGTTGTTGATTTAGAACCATTTAAATTTTTTCGTTCAAACCTGGGCATTAGGCATTGTTTATTAATTTTCTCATTGCCAACTTTTTTCTACCTTTTCGAATTTATTAATGTTAGAAATCGTAAATATTTTTATAAATTGATATATTTTAAAGTATGGGTTACTGTTCATTCTATTTTGACATAGATGTTATTTTGAGAAGATAGATATTAGGAAGTCTTAATTTTATTTGTATTGAACTTTTATTAAGAGAATACTTTACAATCGCACAATCGTACGTGAATGTACGTCAGCAAAATATAATATTATACACATTTTGCAAACAGTGATAATTTTCATGACTTTTCGGATATGTTGTACATGAAATAGTTGTACTACGTATACGTACGTACGTATCAGGAATGATATGACTTTCAGCTCCATGTTGTAAGTTCTCTTATAAAGGTAGCAGGATATGTATTCGATCATAAAGATGATAAAGATGAAATGCTCAAAGAGTGTGGAAATACTGGACTTGGTAATACCAGAAATATATGATTCTACTAAGGCGAGACCAATTTAATTCAGTGGTTTACGTTACATCCTACTCACAAAAAAAAGAGGGGGAGGGGGCTGGAGGGAGTTTATTATAAATTTTTTCTCCGAAATGCTCCGCGATATTATAAAAATTTTCCGAAATTTTCTGCGTAGAGGGGGAAAGCCGGAGAGGGGGTAACGTAAACCACTGAATCAAATTGGTCTCGCCTAATTAGGGTCCGGAATCGGGCAGGTCAGGCTGGGCTTTCATAAACCCAGAAAAATAATTTTTAAACCAGACCCAGCCCGGATCCAATTAGAAGATCCAGTATACCGGCCAGGTCAGGCTATGTCGGGTTTTAAATAGACCCGGCCTGGCCCGTAGCTCGCATATATCCAAAACTTAAAAATTGTGCCCATGCAATTTGTGTGCCGCTGTACATTCAAAATTTTCTTTTTAGTTAGTATAATATTATATACTGATCACAATACTTATCACTACTTTCATAATTTCTAGAATACCTGATAAAATTAACCGAATGATTTTTCATCTTATTTGGTTAAGTTATTAATTTCAGTATAATAATAATAATTAATTAATTAATAATATAAATATTGTACAAATGCAAGAATATGATGCTTTAAAAGTAGCTTCGCTGGAAAATAATTGAAAACCTTTTAGAAGACTAATTATTTCAAGAAATTGCCAAACACTTAGATGTCGTTTGAAGTTAATTGTTCAGTTAACATCACTTTCCAGAACTCTCAGAAGGGGGAAGGGGGCTAATGAAACAAATATATAAAATGAACAAACTATTTTTAATATAGTAAATATATAATAACGAATTGATTTCAAGTCTAGATATTCTAGTTGAGTTGCTAATTAGGATTACATTCCTATTATAAAAGAGAGCAAATATAGATAAATAAAAAATTATGTGATACACTCATCCGAGAAAAAGAACTTTGTACGTACAATTTTTACAGTCAAAACTCTTGTGATCGGATCTTCTTCATTTTTAAAGTATGTATGCAGCGATCACAGATCAAATTTTGGGCTTACTAATTCCCTCAAGTTCCTATTAGTCGAATACAAATTTTGAATGAAATGAATTACTGATCGGATGGCTTAAAAATTATTGTAAAAAGTTTCGATACGAATAATTGGTTTGTAATTGTTATTTCCGTAAAACCTAAATGTTTATTTAAATATTTCTTCTTACTCATTACTACTAGTTCTTTAGCTCTTCACAATCGAATAAAAAACACTTCGAAGCTCTTTTTTCAGCAGATTTTTTTGAAACATTTCATTACAAACTGAAATAAACATATATGAGAGGACAGCCAAGTAGAATTAAAATTTTGGCTTTATTTTTTATTATTTATTTTTTTTTCTCGTTTTTTTTTAATTATAATTTATTTTATTTTTTAAATCGGTTAATTTTAATTTTTAAATTATTTTATTTTATTTTAAATTATTTTAAATTATTTCATTTTATTTTATTTTAAATTATTTTTTATTTTATATTTGCCATATAACCACGAAATAGCGCATAGGAAGTTATTTCGAATTTCGGCCTGGATTAAGCTTAATTTAGGCCAAAATTCGAAACTACACCCCATCGCGTTATTTCGTGGTTATACAGTATTTTTTAATTTTTACTTTTTTTATATGTTCTTTTTAGCGTGGGTATCAAAGGGGAGGGGGGGGGTGACGTTAACAGAAAAATTAATTTTAAACAGCCTAAGTCAGATTCTTAAGGATTTTCAAAAATATTGATATATTGGAAAACTTCCGTTACTTTCAGGAAAACTACATTCACTAAACATAAATAATACAAAATATTATCTTTACCTAAGATTTATTTTTAAGCCAGTCAACAAATTCATGTTTATATTTAACTTTTTTAATAGCGGCACCTGTTTGTATAATATATTTGTTATAAAAGTCTAATTTATATTCGAATTCTTTTTATGTTTCTTATTGGTTGACAGAAACAGCCTTTTTGTACAAATCAAGCACACCAAACATGTTGGACAAGCATTTAAATGAAAATTTAAAAAGTTGTCATTGTCGTAACGATTGTAAAATTATCATTATGATATAAATATAGCCTTTATTATTTTCATTATTATATGGATTATACCAAAATCACTTAACCGGATTGACCAAAAAATCATTTGGCCAATTTTTATCAGGTGTTCCAGGAATTATGAAAGTAGTGGTAACCGAATTCGCTGAAAAAATCATTCAGCTAATTTTTATCCCAGGATTTATGAAAAACAGCTAACGGGATTTTTGGGATTTGCGGGCTTTTTTGTAAAGCCCAGCCCGACCCGGTATTTTAAAGGGCTTAGCCCGATTCCGGCCCGTGATATTATGGGTCTAAAAATGTGGGCCCGACCTGAACTTTTGCAGTGCGGGACGGGTCGAGCCCCGGGTAGCCCGACCCGATTCCGGACCCTACTTGTAATCCACCACAAAACGGAAAAATTTTATTGCTGCAACGTAAGAATACAATATCATGTTAAATTAAATGACGAAATTGTAAACTTAAGAAAAATTAACCCATACGGCATTACTTTTAGTTTATTCGACATCAGTCTTATTCATTACTTATTATAGAGATTTCCTATTTAGCGAATCTTCTAAAGCTTAATGTTGTAGTACGTATGGTGCCGGAAGCTTATACCCGACAATCACGTGAAATGGTTCAATTTTCGCGCGACTGCAATTGACTAATAAAATTAATGTATTTCGACATTTTTGCACATACTGCGCCAAAAACATGGTATTATTTTAAAACGCTAAAACTTTTTACAAACAAGATTTTTTAAAAATTCGTCCGATAACTTTATACATAGAACTAAGCACTACAATGTTATCGGTTAATTTTTTTTAAGGAATTTTTCTATAGTCATACCAATTTGAAGATTGGTTTTTTTTCGAACAGAAATAACTTCCTACAGAAGAGCTTTTTAAAAAAAATTAACCGATAACTTTATAGAGTCACCTCTGTGTATAAAGTTACCGGTCATTTTTTTTATTGAAAAAATTTGTCTTTAAAAAGTTTTAGCGTTTAAAAAATTCTATGCTTTTGGCGCAGCATTTGAACCTAGGTGTCGCACAAAAAATGCGCGGAAGATCCTCGATTTTGATTGGCTAAGAGTGACGATCAAAAATTGGGCCGGAATTACTTATAATATTACTAATGAAATCGCAGCCGCCCATTAAGTGAAAATTGCTCCTGGGCCAATTTTACCATAAAGTGGGCTCATTTTTTAAAAATTTATATTTCTGTAATGAAAAAATCAATAAGTTAATTCCGGCCGGAAATTAGTAACTATTATATAATGCGGGCCAAAATTTGAAGATCCTCGGCCATTGGCCAATCAAAATCGAGGATCTGCTTTGTGCAACACCTAGGTTCAATTGCAAGATGTCGAAATACATTAATTTCATTAGCAATTGCAGTCATGCGAAAATCGAAACCTTTCACATGATTGTCGGGTATAAGCTTCCGCACCATACGTAAAGTACGTACGTACGTTGTGAAGGGTAACCTGACCCGGCCGCAGAAAAAACGTGATCCAAACATACGACTCGGGACCTGAAATGCGCATTGATCGACAAAAGCGAAGGAATTTAATAAATGCCAATTTGGGTTTGGCTTGAGGCGATGCTCCATTGAAGAACAATAGTAAGACGCCTCTGATATTAAATGGTGGAAACTAAAGCCATGGTCATAAAATTAGTATGAATTATTCATCGTTAGTCATAGATTCGCCGATACTTTAAATAGTCATATTGGTTAAAGATTCTAATCCTTGTAGCAAAGCCCCAAGGTTATCTGTAATGTATAAATAACCATTGACTTCAAGTAGTGAAGTGTTATAATAATAAAGACCATCTAATAATAAACTCCGGGGATCCTAGTGGCAGTAGGATCCTTGGTTCTCGGACCAAATCTTCCACGCCTTCTTTCGAGTAGCCTTGTCTTTTTGGTTGTGTTTTAGCTATGAATTAAAGCCACCCCAGATTCGCCCTTTTACAACGTACATACAGTGCAGGAAATTTTTTCTATGACGCACATCGGAAATAATTTTCCTAAATTATCGATCTCAATAAGCGAAGGGAATCTCTTTGCATAAAGACAATAAGCAAAAACCACAATATATATGCAATAACATTCTACAAAGTGATTGAAGTTTTAGGTTTCCTGCACCGTACGTATACTTGGATGTTCTGCGCAGTGTCTTGAAATTTACTTTTAAAATTAGGTGCGGACTCACAACAAATAAAAAAAAAACTACTCGCAGATTATAAAAATTTATAAAAATCTAGTTGCGCGCATAAACATTTTAATCGAAATTTATAGGTAAAATTTCACAAATTTATATGCGAAATCCGCATATGTGCTTTAGATTTTGGCTGCTGGAATCTAAAATTTTGTTGCGGTCCACAAACTCCGCTATCCAATTTCACTGGTTCTGCAAATGTTGCGGATTCCTAAAAAATCAGTATTAATGAAATTTAGACGAATTTGTGTAACCGATATTTGTTATATATATGACCACTTCAACGCTTCAACGTTAAATTATTGTGCTTACTACTCTGACTTTTTTCACAATTTTTTGAACCATGCAATATTACGGACTCATCTACTTCGTGAATAATCAATATTACCCTATTCCTTTACAAAATGTTTCCGTTGAAGCGAACAGTAAAGTTTCTCCTAATTTTTTTTTAATGATTTTGATAACTTGAATTCCTGCTTAAACTAACTATATATATACTAAATTCTATTAGTTGTTGATATGATAGCCGAAAGTAATTAATATACTTATTTAAAAAAATATATTGAATAGTCTTATAATAACAACACTAATAATCACTTTATTTATTTAATCCAGCAACGGTTTGCCAAACCTATAAAAATATTGAGTCAAATACAATTGAGGCTATTTACAAATTTCCACTTCATGAAGCGACAGCTGTATGCAAATTTGAAGCAGAAATTGATGGAAAAAGAAATATTAAAGGAATAGTTAAAGAGGCTAAGCAGGCTGCAAAGGAACATGATGAAGCTATTCAGGTAATTTAAAACAAAATTAAAATGATATTTAAAATGTCTTAATATAATTATTTTATATCATTATTTAAATAGCAAGGTCAAGGTGCTTATTTATTGCAACAGCATCAATCAGACGTCTTCCAATGTTCTATTGGAAATATCACGGCTGGTCAAACTGTTGTTATCAAAATCACATATGTAACTGAACTGAAACATGATGCTGAAACTGAAAAAGTTCGATTTGTTTTTCCTACTGCTATCGCTCCACGATATGGTCAATCCGGTTATTCTCCTGCAAATGATGGGAAAAAACTTATTCCTGATGCAATTTCTTATTCATCTGGGGCAAACTATTATTTAGATCTTGCCATTACATGCAGGATGACCTCAGTTATTCAAAATATTGAGTCACCATCACATCATATTTCTACTGAATTAAATATTGATGGTAATCCGAATGTTTCAAAGATTACTCTAGCAGAACAAATAACTTATCTAGAAAAAGATTTTATACTCGTTGTTAAAAGTCTAGGCCTTGATCAACCAAGGTAATAATATTTATCTGTATTGTATTAATTAATATTATTGCAATACATATGTATTTACAATTATTTCTATTTCTCTTACTCAAGAGCTTTTGTCGAATACAATCCACAAACTGAAACAAATTGTATTATGTTAACTTTGGTGCCAAAATTCGCTATTAATACTATAATGTCAGAGTTGATTTTCGTTATTGATAGGTAAAATTTCAAATGCATTTATTTAATTTATATATATTATTTGTACATTTTTTCATAAATTTATAATATTGTAATCAATAGGTCAGGTTCAATGCAAAGTGGAGCCATGAAAAAAGCTTCCGAAGCACTCCAATTATTGCTTCGTTCATTACCTGAAGATTCTTACTTTAATGTGATATCATTTGGATCTCATTTTGACTCTTTATTTGAAAAGAGTCAACCTTACTCCAAAATTCCTTTTCAAAAGCTCTTAAGCATGCTCAAGAAATGACCGCAAATTATGGAGGAACTGAAATCTATAATCCTATAAAATGGGCATTCGAAAATTCAAGGAATGATATGCCGACTTCTGTTTTCCTTCTGACTGATGGTCTTGTTAATAATGTTGATCAGATTGTAGAACTTATTAAATCTAGTGAAGAAAAAAAGAAAGATGATGTAAGGCTCTTCTCAATTGGAATTGGAAATTCTGTTTCTCATGAGTTAGTTGAATCTGTTTCCCGTGCTGGTAAAGGTTATGCACAATTTGTTACAAATAATGAACGAATGGACAAAAAGATTATTGGAATGCTAAAAAACGCCATAAAACCTCCTATTAAGGATTATAATATTACTTGGACTAATCAAATTATTGAAGATGTTTTACCTAAAGAAATTGAGTCGGTTGATGTAGATAAACCAACAATTAGCTTCTTTAGCGATAACACTACACCTCCACCAGTTACTCAAAATTTCTTTACAGACATAAAAATTCAACAAGCGCCATTTGTAATTCCACCAATTTATCCTGGTGTTCGATTTATAGTTTATTGTATTTTAGAAAAAGGTGTTGAAGCTTGTAAAGAAATTATACTGAGTGCAACTTCTCAAGATGGTCCAATGAAGCTTTCTATCCCATTGGATCCTGTAACTTTACAAGGATCAAAAATACATACACTTGCAGCTAGAAAGCTTATTCAAGATCTTGATGATGGTACTTCATTTATTCATAAGCACCCAAGAAATAGTGGAAAATTGATACCAATTTCACTCATTCGTGAGCAAATTGTGAAATTAGGCATTATGTATAGTTTGGCTTCAAAATATACAAGGTAACTTTTTATAAAAATCTCTAATAAATTATATTAATAGTCAATAATAATTGTATTAATATTGTATAATCAGTTTCCTTGCAATTGATGAAAGAGATAATCAAGTGGTAGCTGAATCCCAAAATATTGGTAAACAGAGAATCATTCCAACTAGGTCATCTATTCCGTTTGGTATGTTGCATCTAATCGATTATGCAATATGAATGGTTTTATTTTAATGCAAGTTAAATTTTAAGCTATATATATATATTTATAGCTAGTAATTCTTTCACAACTTATCATCCTCATTCTCAGTCTTATGTTAATTGTAAGTTATTTGATTATATAATAAGAATTGCATTATTTTGATAAAACTAGATTGATTTTATAACTTTTTTTTTTTTGAAATAGCGGCCATTCAACCCCTTTCTCAATTGTGTTCAGCACCAGTTTCTACCCCAACAGCTAATTGTATTACTTATTCTTCTTCATATTCCATGCCTTACAATGCTATCCCATTTTATGCTACTGGTGGACCAGCTCTAAGTTTTCGATCTGCTGCAATGCCAAATTCTATCCCATTTGATTATACTGGACCAGCTCTAAGATTGCAATCTGCTGCAATGGCATGTTCTTATGTACAAAATTCAAATATTTCATATAATGAATCTACTACATCAGCTTTCTCAACCACTTCTGTAAAAACGAAACCTCCAAAAATTGAAACACTTTATAGCTTTCTCAATTTCCAATCATTTGATGGTTCATTTTTACCATCTGATAAGTTTTATTCTTGGTTTGGTAAAAATAATTTTAAAGAATTTGAAATTATTGGAATTAATAATGAGAAAGTATTATGTTTGGCATTAGCAATGGCGTATTTGGAAATTTTAATGTTTGAAACATTTAAGGAAGAATGTGAAATGTGTTATGAAAAATCTAAAAAAGCTTTGAAAAAAGAAATTGGTAATGATGAACAAAAGGTTAATGAGGTTTTGGAAAAAGCTAAAGAATGGGTTAATAATTGGGCTAATGAATAACTATTAATTTTTATTAAAATTGATATTAACTAGTTTATAGTATATACGTAACTATTTAAATTCATATTTATATTTTTTTGTTAGCAATTATTTTTTACGTTACTTTAGGCAAATTTTGTTTGCAATTTTTGAGAAATATATTTATCTAGCAGATCACAATATAAATTTATTGTATATGGTATTGCGTGCCTCTTTTGAAATGTAACATTTCTGTTTTTGATTAACTCAGCTTATTTGTGCATTTTTATTATAAGCTATATTTGTTTTTATAAATAAATAAACTTGTTGCAGTATACTAGGTGTCATTTATAGTTCTTGCTTTATTAATATAAGAAAATTATTTATACTGTATAAACATAAATATTATACCAATCAGTTTAATAATATGCAATTATAGAAGCACTCTAGAGTAGGACTCAATTTAAGTTAATGAAATTAAGGAGCAACCAGGGGTAGCTATATAGCATTAAGTCAATTTAATAAAGTGAGTTGAAGATCGGGCCAACATAACCTGAATAATTCATATTTGTTATAAATGATCATTGACTTCATTTACATTTGGACCAGTTAGTAGAGTCTTAAGTGATATGGTTGATATCTCACATATATCAATATATTTATAAAATTTATTTTGATTTCACATATATTATATAGTTATTTTCTTTGAGCACTAAATTGAACCCACTTACACTGAATTTTCAATACTTTCAATCTAGCGAACAAAATCCACTTGATAGTACGTTTATACAATTCTGTTGTAAGTTGAACAATTCTATGCAATACTAAATATATTTTTTCCATTAGCTCATTTTATAATGTTTCTGTTAGTTTAATTCGTTGAATGTTTACACATTTTCTTCAGTTAGCATTATGGGTAAAATAATTATTATAAAGATTTTTCATCACATTTATCATGATTTTCTTTAATAACGATTCCGTATCTGTAACAGATCCTACATCACAAAGGATTTTAGAAGTGTTCGAATGCTTTCTTAACATTCTTTCAATTAACTGTTGAAGAACCCAGTCCAGAAATTCCTACTATCACACAATTTCACAAATTTTTGATAGTTTTAAAAGCTCTTTTTTTTTATCTCTTTCAACATTGACTTTGTACTGGCACCTCCACTCAAATTCTTAGAGCTTTCTTCAGAACTCTTTTAAATGATCCAATATGTTTCTTAAATTTTCAGTACTATGCCATGATGGTACTTCCAATCGAGTTTAAAAAGCTCTACACAAGGTTAACTCATATTGGAACAAAAAAAAAAGATGTTTATCTTTTGAACTTGTGTTGAAGATTGAGTTAACAACACTGGTTTTTTTATGCGAAAAATAAATATTTAAATAGAATCTTTAAAGCTTTAATTGTATTACTTTTACACACTACACTACGCGATAATCTGGGAATCGGGAATTTTGAACATAATAATAAAATACAAACATTTGATTGGCTACTATTAGAATTAATAATTATCCTATTAAAGTTCAATTTTGTTGAATTTTGAACTATATTTTCAAATCTTATAAATTTGTAAAATTCGAAAACAGCTTTAAATGTTGAAAATTAGTAAGGTATTAATAAGATTCCTTTATTCAAAATTTATGAGAGTTCATTTAAAAAAAAATGACTATAAATTTATTGCTTAATAAATCAATTCAAAGATTTAATAATAATATATATTATGCTAGAAGATTAGTATCCAGTGAGAAATCTTTGGAAATACTAACAATTAATCAATTATTGTAGTCTTTGCAAAAAGATATGACCACATGATTTTTGTGATGATAAGTGAGAAAATTTCTGAGATTCTATATTGTCTATTAATTCATATTTTCGATCAGTTATGCTTATATATTTATTTGAAATTGGTAAGGTTCTTAAAATCTACAAAATCTCCAATTTTCACACGACATTGTGATCTGCAGAGGTCACATATTTTTGCAAAGCGCAATAATTAATATATTACTATTCACACGGATCAATTTTACTGACTTTTGAAAACACTATGTGTGTAGTGCCACGCTGCAGTTAATATTCCGTCAATTTTTTGAATTACAACTTGCTTAATTCTTTCATATATAAATTTAGATTACTATATATTCCTCAGCTATATTTCTTTATAATTATTCTTTATGAGAAGCTCACTTTTTTTACCTGACAAAACCAAACAACATGGGAAAGAGTTTGCCGAAAAGTTTTAACCAAGCAACCAACTAATTTGCCCGGTCGAGCAATTTTACAATGAATGCAAGAAGTAGATCAAGAGAGAGAGAGAGAGAGAGAGCAACAACATCAAATCAAAATACAACTATGCCAACTTATAACGAATTATTAAATCAAGTAAATGAATTAAAAGATTACTTATTTGCATTATAACTATTAACGAGAATCAGCACGTGCAAGATGGATAAGAATATATATAAATTAATAATTATATATTATCTCGTACACTTTCTCTTTTTTATTTATTTATTTACCTTCCTAATTCTATATTCTTTTTTTTCATTATACATGCATGAGCGTCAGAGAGCAATTCACTGAGCAAGCCCTCCTGCTAATCACTGAGCAAGTCCAAAGGCGGCTCTCCTAATTTCTTAATTTCTTTCCTTATCCTCTTTTTATTTATTTATTGGGAAGAAGAGGTGGGACCACTCACGAACGAGCCAGATATAAGACAGGCAGCGAAAGAAAAATGTACCACTGCTTACAAATCTTCAGTTTTCCCTAAATTTTCTCATTGAATTTTCTTTTAAATTTTTCCTTCTAACCTTAAATAGCACAATGCTCTCACAACAATGATGATCTTCCTTATTCTTCCTTTAAGGTGATGATAAAAACTTTGGCATGACTATCGTCATGCGCAGGTTAGAACACTGTAAATCAGTGAATCGCATAAATTTTGTGTAATGCAAAAATCTGTACCAGGTTTAGTATTAAAAAAACATTATACTTTTTTTGGATATGATAACGAACTCAAACCTAAATCCTATCCCAAACCAAATACCAAAAAATTTATTCGATATAACAGATGCAAAAATTATTCTTCTGTCAAAATGGAGACTAATCAAAATAATAGCTTAAATATAGCAATTCCATAATCGGAATTTGTTCCGGTAGCTGATCAAATTACTCGGCTTCACAAAGAAATTTTAATAATTTGCGAAAATGCGAAGTATAATAAAGATATTTGTCTCCGTTTGGTTGAACGAGCTGAAGCAGTAAAGAATTTAGTAAAGCATCTGACGTTAAACAAAGGTGATGCAATGTTTTCAGATAAAATTAAAATCGTTAGAAGATCTGTAATTGTTTTGGAAGAAATTAAAGAGTTTGTTCATATTGCATCAAAACTTACAACCATTAAAAAATTCATAAATGCGCAAACAATTAAAGAAGTTTTTGAAAAGTTGAATAAAGATTATGATGAATGCATGAGAGATTTACAGTTTTACATGACTGTTGCTAGTGAAAATGAAAAGGACGAATCACCAAACTCCCTAAAAGATATTGAGAGAGTATGTAATTTAACTATTATTTTGAATTTACATAGAACAAATTTAAAATGTTTAAAATGTTTATCTTTCTAGGTTCTCGAAAAAATTGTACTTGAAGTTAGTGATATTAGTCATAAAAATAATTTGATATCTCAAGAAATTGTCAATAATAACGATAAAATAGACACTGTTAATCTTAAATTAGAAATAATGACTCAAGAAATACGTGACTTAAAATCTGAAGTAGCCAAATTATCTAAACAATCAAACATCATTCATGCAACTTCTTCAACAAGTTCTTCAGAAATGTGGCTTAAAAATGCTATCTCTGAGGGGCATATTAATTATATTGAATATAATCAATTCATTTTTTGCTCAAAAATCTGCGATGGAGGTTTTGGATCAGTTTCTAAATTTGTATGGAATAATAATAATATGATAGTTGCACTTAAATGTCTTAAATTCCAGATTGACTTAGATGATGAATTTGTTAATGAGGTAAATTTATACATCAATAAATACTTAGTTTGAAATTTATTATTTAATTTCATATATTTCAAACTTTACACATAAAGCTTAAACTATTACGAAAGGTTAGCAATCATCAAAATGTTATTGCATTTCATGGCGTTACAAAAGGTATTCGTTTTCTTATTTAGTTAATGATATTAATTTTAATGCTAAATGAATATAATAAAAAAATAAATGCTGTAGACGCTTTTGGATGTTATAATAAGGTTTTGGAGTTTGCCAAAGATGGAAATTTGCGAGAATATTTAGAAAAAAATTTTGAAGGGCTACAATGGAAAAAAAAAATATACATTGCTAAGGAAATTATGAAGGGTCTAATATTTTTACATAATAATTATATTGTTCACAGTGATCTTGTAAGTATATCACTTATAGAATTTTTAAGCAATGCATATTGAAAAATGTTATATATTTTTAATATATACGTAACATGTAATTTGCAGCATTCAAAAAATATTTTGATTAATCAAGAACACGTAAAGATTTCAGATTTTGGATTGTCAAAGCAGATCGATAAGATGCAAATGACTTCTAATTCAATTGCTCACGGAATGCCTGCCTATACGGATCCTCAATGCTTCAAAAACCCAGGATATAAACGTAATAAAAAATCCGATATCTATAGCTTTGGAGTACTTCTTTGGGAAATTTCAAGCGGACAAACACCATTCAAATCTTCAAATTCAGCAACTGAGGTGGCTTTTCAGATATATTTAGGAATCAGAGAAAATCCTGTAGAAGGCACACCACCACGTTATGTTAAACTTTACCAACAATGTTGGAATGAAAACCCTATTGATCGTCCGGAAACAGGATTAGTTCTTGAAACTTTAAATCAACTCATTTGTGATGAAACATTAGATCAAGACAATAATTTAGTTGAAACTACAGTTGACAATAATGAAGTTTTATCTTTATATGAAGAAAATTTATCTATTTTACAGTCACTCGATGGCAGTCGAATCATACTTGCT